CTTCCTCGGGAGGTGGTGGGCTCTCCTTCTTTGGAGGTTTTCAAACAGAGGCTAGGTGGCCATCGGACAGCAATGCTGATTCTTTGAACTTAGACAGATCATGAGAGGGAGGGCAGGAAGGGTTGCCTCAGTGCTTAGTTCTTGCGGCCCTTTCTTACATGCCTAGGGAAATGCCAGTTGCCACTTTGGGGTCAGGAAGCAATTGTTCTCCAGGCCAATTTGGCCACGGATCCTGGAGGGGGGGGCATCTTCTGGACATAGAGCAGGGGTCACCGGGTGTGTGTGGGGGGGGGAGGTATTTGTGAATCTCCTGCATTGTGCAGGGGGTTGGACTAGAGGTCCCTTCCAATTCTGTGATTCTATTATTCCAAATGAAAGTGTCCAATACTGAATAGCGACTACCTGCTTCCTATCCAACCTTACAGGAAAAAATACATATAATCCCACCATCAAAAAAAAAAAAACTGCCCTGCAACAAAAAGCTAGAAACTTAAAAAAAGAAAAGAAAAGAAAGCTAGGAATTCGGAGGAATCAGTAGATTGTGGTAATAGACTGCCGTCTAAAGGGTCCCCATTGGGAAGGAAGGCAGGTAAATAAATGAAGTAAATACATATTGCACTTTAGCAATTACTTTTTAAAGCCTTCAAAAAGCCCTCTGGGGGTGTGGTGCAGGGAACTGCAAAGAATATGGCCGCTGATGAAGGAAAGGTGCATGCAGAGCTCCCATGTGGACATCCCACAGGTTTTAAAAAGAAGGTACCAAGGATAGGAAAAGCCTGAAAGGTGGACAAATAAGGCTACGGTCACACACACTAAACAATCCACTGTCAGTGCACTTTCCAACTGGATTTTACTGTGGTGGAATATTCTTGCATCCCTTAGGGGGATGGAGAAGGAAGGAAAGAAGAAGGGGGGGGAAATAACAGATGTTCTTGGGAATATTGTTAAGGTAATGGTTCTGAAAGTGTGGTTAAGAGAAAGAAATGTAGGATCAAATATTTAGAAGTCACATCCCTAAGTCACAGTCTAGCCCTGTTCACCTGTGCAGTGAACGCACCTACAGCAGCAGTGAGTCACAAAGAGTACAGCTTCACACAACTAATAATTATTGCACAAGGTCAATCAGGTTATTGGCTGGACCTGGATCCAGGGCCCGAGTCGGGTTTCATGTCTGCTGCCTCCCCGCCCTCTGATCGCCCCAAGGATAATTAATTCATGAATATTAGTCAGTGCAACAAAACACAGTGACGGCCAGAAGTGCAGAAGGAAGGCTTTGATAGTTTAACAATGCTGTCCTAAACAGAGCTGGTGATGGTGGAAAGTGCCACAGCTGACTTATGGCAACCCTGTGGGGTTTTCAAAGCAAGAGACATTCAGAGGTGGGTTGGCCATTGCCTGCCTCCGCATCACGGCCCTGGTATTCTGTGGAGGCCTCCCATCCAAATACCAGCCAGGTCCAACCCTAGTTAACTTCTGAGATCTGATAAGCTTGGGCTAGCCCGGTCAGGGTAAATAGTTACACTCTTAACTTCAGTGAGCTAAGAAGAGGTTAATTCTGTTTAACAGGGCACTGTCTGGGAGGATAGTAGTCAGGGAGAATAGTAGTTAGCTACTAACAGTGACAGTTAAAGAGAGCCTCCACTTTCAGAGACAGCGTACTTTTGCATATCAGACCCTGGGCTGAGTGCCGAAGAATAGATGCTTTCGAATTATGGTGCTGGAGAAGACTCTTGAGAGTCCCCTGGACTGCAAGGAGATCAGAACAGTCAATCCTAAAAGAAATCAACCCTGACTGTTCTCTGGAAGGCCAGATACTGAAGCTCAAATACTTTGGCCACCAAATGAGAAGGGAGCACTCACTGGAGAAGACCCTGATGCTGGGAAAGCTTGAAGGTCAAAGAAGGGGACGGCAAAGGATGAGATGGTTAGACAGTGTTATCAATGCAACGAGCATGAAATTAAGCAACTCCGGAGGATGACAAAAGAGAGGAGGGCCTGGCGTGATGTGGTCCATGGGTCGCGAAGAGTCGGACTCAACTGTGCAACTGAACAACAACAACAACAACCCTGGGCTGCACCATATCACACTGAAGGCTGGCAAGATCAAGAAAGCTTAAGATCTGGACCTGGAAAAATCTGCTTTTTTCCTCCTTCATTTAATTTTTTTTTTTTTTGTAACATCTGGCCTAATGACCAGCTCTGATGAACTTGAGAGCTTGCAGCGTTTTGTGTTATTTCGGTTGGCCCCAATAAAAGATAGCACATGGATCTTGTTTCTTCTTCTGGTTAGTGTTGGAGTCTGGATGGAACATCGCTGTGGCCCAGGTAGAGTTGCCAACCTCCAGGTGGGGGCTGGATTCCCATGGAATTTCTACATTTCCTCTGAAAATAGGACACTCGAACTGAAACTGAATGTTGAAATAGCAATTTTTGCACTTTACCATGGTTGGTTGCCAGATATTTGTTTGAATGTCTTTGCAAACTTGTATTGGAACTTTAAGTCCTAGTATTGCATAAGTATTAAAAACTTTAAAATGTTGCATAACCTGCCTGTATTAATTATAATATGATATGAGTAGATGATTAGTAAGTTTTCACGGCATAGTATATATATTTGGTAGCTTATTTCCGTCATCCTCTCTTTATTCTTTTTTAACTTCCAGGTGGGAGTTGGAGATCTCCCAGAATTATAACTCATCTCCAGACCAGAGCTTCGTTCCCTTGTGGGAAAAAACCAAAAACCAAAAAACGGCTGCTTTGGCGGGCGGATTCTCTGGCATCTCATCCCTGCGGAGTTTTCTCCTCTCCCCTAACTCCACTCCAACCCAGGGATGGCAATCCTAAACCTCTTCTTTTCTCCCCCTGGAGGGGAGAAAAACGAAAACTGTTTAGGGGAGGCAGATCTTCCAATTTCACACGTAAACGCTCTGCCTCAAGAGATGCGGGCCACACGCAGACAACGGCCAGCTATTAGTTTTGTCGCATCCGCCATATCGAGTTAATAAATTTAGTGCTTTCTCCAATAACCGCCCACTGCCACTGCCCTGCCTACGAATCGCTCCAGGAAAAGGACGTTCCCTTTACCGCATTCTCCCCTCCCTCGATCCCACGAAGCAGAAGGGGGAAAATGGCCGTCCGAGGCTTCCTTTCCACGCAACGTCTTCGTTTGTGCGGCGTGCATGAGCGATTCAAGCGCAGCCAAGAAGAAACGTTTTGAACAATACGGGCCACAGCCATTTCCGCTTGCCAAAACTATGCGTGACGCGTAGACAAAGTGAAGCTTCGTTGTATTTCAGAAATGGCAAACTGCGCCTCTACGTTGCAGAGGAGAGGCGCCGCTCTGCAGCCTTCCGGCGACTTCCCAACCCATGCATTTTTAAATTTTTTTTGCTTTTTACTTCTCTATGGACCGTTATTGCACGTTGCAGGCGCATCATCCTAAAAAAAGACGGCTATCCACACAAACCACGGGGATGAGAAAGGAAAGGTTAGCAATCTAAAGCTGCAATCTCACACATGCCGACTCGCGAGCAAGCGCCATGGTGAAAGCACTGCCCCGCACGCACGTAGTAAAAATCGGCCTGCAGCTGAGCCTTCGTTCTAGACTTCGCCTGCGTGCAAAGAGCACAGGAATCGCTTCCCTGTTTTGGAAAGGGTAGCTCTCCCCCTCCCCCCCCCGTCCATTAGCACTGCCCGGCCTCCTCCCCCATTTCCCACCCGCCAATCGGGTCCCGGGTTCCGGATGCTGCGGCCAGCTCTCTTCCACCCACGTGGCTCCCTCGCCTCCACGCCTTCCTACGGAGAGGGAGGTTGCGCGCTCGGCGACTCGTCTTGGGGGAACCGCTGCTGGGAGCGCGAAGGTTGCCTTTGGTGCGCGCCCCCGCCTCTGCTCGCGCGTCTTTGTGTGTGCCGCAGCCTCCAGTCCTGGGGCGGACATGGTGGGGTTCACCGTCCCCGCAGAAGTCAGCGTCATCCTGTTAGACATCGAAGGCACGACGACCCCGATCGCGTTTGTCAAGGTGTGGTCTTGGGGGCGGGGAGGGGGCGGGGGAAGATCGCGAGTGTTTCGGGTCGGGGCTGAGGCTGCTGCGCGCTTCCTCGCGTGCGGCAGCCCCAGCGGGATTCCGAACGGATTGGGTCAACGCATGTGCACAGGATTGGGCTGAGTCGCCAACAATCTGCTTTTCTAGGCGGAGGCTGATGCAGCGGGTGCAGGCTGGTTTGCGAAAGCTTAGTCCCCGAATCCGTCTGAAAATGCACTCGACTCCAGCTTGGGCGCCGTTATTTTATCACCAGCTGTCGTGAGCCTGATCTCGTTTAATCGGATGCCGGGAGTCGAACTCAGGATAGCTGATGCTGCAATAAAAGGTGGTTGGCTTTAAGAAGCCGCAAGACTCTGGTTTGTTTGTCCTGCAACGCAGGGACGGGCCTCTGACGTTGAACTGCCTTATTCTTTTAACATGTCGATGGACTTGGCTGTTTTGTGTTTTTGCAGACAGTTGCGCTTTTCTTGAACATCTCCCTGCATTTAGCATCAGCGTTCTGACAAGCCTGAAGGCTAGGGTTGATTCGTTCCTTTAGAAAGACGGCAGTGGCAAACCCTTGCTCTTCTGTTTTGTATTGATGAAATGTGAACTGGCGCTGACAGCATCTGTAACGGTATATGACTTAACATCACGTAAGGCTCCAAAGTGTTTAAATTCATAAATTGTTCACCATCAAGCATGCTTCTTATTATTAAACATACTGTTGATTATTTAATACATGCATAAAATACAATTGATACGTAGATAGACTGGCAATTAGAAGAGAACACTACAATCCCAGAAAAGACTTCGCAATTCCAATGGTCTGAAAAATAATTTCTAAATGTCCATAAAGCAAGTCAATCCAGTCCTTCAGACTTAAGGCAAACAATGAGCTGTAGTCGTAAATCTACAGCTCATTCAGTCCATTGGAATTGTGAAGTCTTTTCTGGGATTGTAGAGTTTTCTTCAAATTGCCAGTCTATCTATGTATCAGTTGTATTTTGACGGTGAACAATTTATGAATGTAAACTATTTGGAGCCTTATGTGATGTTAGGTCATATATGATTCATACTAATTCATCTATTGCCTTAAATGGCTGTTAGCATCTTTAATGGGGCTGACTTCTGGTGGGAACCAGTATTATGTGCAGCCCTTGTTTGGTGGTGGAAAGTGCAGTCAAGTCATATCCAAGTTATGGCGACCCCATGGTGTTTTCAAGGCAAGTGACATTCCAAGGTATTTGCCGTTGCCTACCCCTGCATAGTGACCCTGGACTTCCTTGGTGGTCTCCTAACCAAGTACTAACCAGGGCCGATCCTGCTTAGCTTCCGAGAGCTGATGAGACTGGGCTAAGGTAACTTCAGTGGGACTCCCCCCCCCCCTTTTAAGATTGTCACTCTTTCTCTTCCATGTAATTGTGCTGTCTGTCATTATTTTACAATGCAAAGCTATAGAATGCTGCTTTTGTGAAAACAAAATTTACTACTTTGTGTTTTGGTCTTGGGAGAATGCAGAATTGAATGTGGTGGAAGAAGCTTCATCAGTATGCATTGATTTCTTGGTATCAGGATATCCAGTTCTCATCTGTGGGTACTTAAATCCGGAGATTGGGGACATGGACAGACAAGACAGATCTACAAACCTGAATCAAGAAGACCCAGGTTCCCATAAAAAATCTGAAGTCTAAAAAAACAAAAAAAGACCTTCAGATGGTGAAAGTTGATGTCATTGGCCTGGCACCTTGAGGTAGTTTGCTGAGGATAAAATGGGGATAGCTGTATGGTTTACATTCTGGGGGGAAGGGTGGGATACAAAAATATGAACTGTCTGTTTACATTTCCCCTGACCAAGATGGCCCAGCCTAGCCCGATCTCAGAAGTTAAGCAGGGTCAGCCCTGGCTAGGATTTGGATGGGAGACTGCAGAGGAAGCCAATGGCAAACCACCTCTGTTTCCTCTTGCCTTGCAAACCCTAGGGGAGGGATTGCCATAAGTCGTCTGCAACTTGACAGTCCTTTGCACACATGTACAATTTGCATTTCCTGTGGCTAGGTTGCAGCTAGGAGATGTTGTGTTTCCCGCTTGGTATAGTGGTTAAGTGCGTGGACTCTAATCTGGGAGAACCGGGTTTGATTCCCCACTCCTCCACTTGCATCTGGCTGGATGACCTTGGGGAAGCCGTAGTTCTGATAAGAGCTGTTCTTGAAAAAGAGCAGTTTCTGTCAAGAGCTCTCTGAGCCCCACCTACCTCACAGGGTGTCTGTTGTGGGGAGAGGAAGGGAAAGGAGTTTGTAAGCCACTCTGAGACACCTTTGGGTAGCGAAGGGCGGGGTATAAATCCAATCTCTTCTTCTTCTTTTACCTCACAGGGTGTCTGTTGTGGGGAGGGGAAGGGAAAGGAGTTTGTAAGCCGCTCTGAGACACCTTTGGGTAGTGAAGGGCGGCGTATAAATCCAATCTCCTTCTTCTTTAAAGTGGTGGTGTCAAAAAAGAGCCACAGCTTCAGCAGCCAGACCCTCTGGGATTTCCTGGCTATTCCACACACAATGCCATACAATAATTTCAATTTCCCTTTAAAGTGCACAGGGCCGCTACTGTTTCTCTAGCCCCAGTTCTTTTGCCTACCTTCCTATCCTGCCCGCCTTGGGGCAAAGCTGGAGTTCTGGTATAGCAGATAGTGGACAGGATTGGTGAAGGGATATGTTGCAGGAGAAGCAACAGCTAAGTTGTCTCCTATGGATTTGCAACTTCGAGAGATGGTGCGGTGTAGCGGTTAGATCTGAGAGAACCCAGTTTATATCCGGTCTCTCTACTGTGACGTTTATTCTGCTCTGGTTAGACCTCACCTAGACTATTGTGTTCAGTTTTGGACACCACAATTTAAGAAGGATATAGATAAGCTGGAACATGTCCAGAGAAGGGCAGTGAAGATGGTGAGGGGTCTGGAGACCAAGTTCTATGAGGAAAGGTTGAAGGAGCTGGGTATGTTTAGCCTGGAGAGGAGACGACGGAGAGGTGATATGATAACCAACTTCAAGTACTTGAACGGCTGTCATGTAGAGGATGGTAAGGAGTTGTTTTCTGTTGCCCCAGAAGGTTGGACCAGAACCAACTGGTTGAAATTAAATCAGAAGAGTTTTCGGCTAAACATTAGAAAGAACTTCCTGACAGAGTGGTTCCTCAGTGGAACAGGCTTCCTCAGGAGGTGGTGGGCTCTCCTGTGGAGGTTTTCAAACAGAGGCTAGATGGCCGTATGACAGCAATGCTGATTATGTGGAGGGCAGGAAGGATTGCATCAGTGTTTAGTTCTTATGGCCCTTTCTTACAAGCCCAGGGAAATGCTGATTCCCACTTTGGGGTCAGGAAGCAATTTTTCTCCAGGCCACTTTGGCTGGAGATCCTGGTGGGGTTTTTTGGTCATTTTCTGGGTGTGTGGGGTGTGGAGGAGGAGGTATTTATGAATTTCCTGCATTGTGCAGGGGTTGGACCAATGTTCCCTCTAAGCTGTTGAGTCCTGTGAGCAAAACATTCTACTTTGTGAGCTACTGGCATTAAAGTTATGAGCAAGCGATTTGGCTACTGCATCAATCAATTTGCTCTGGAGCCCTCCTTCCTGAGCTATGACAAAAATGTGTGAGTTGGAGGCTAAAAAACTGTGAGCTGACTCACACTAACTCAGCTTAGAAGGGAATATTGGATTGGACTAGATGACCCTGGAGGTCCCTTCCAACTCTTTGATTCTGTGCTTGCTGGATGACAGTGGGGCCAGCTGCTGTCTCTCAGCCTAACCTACTTCACAGGGTAGTTGTGAGGATAAAAGGGAGCTGAACAGAAGCATAGATACCATCCTGAGATCCTTGGAGAAGGGGTGGGGAAGAAACATACTAAACAGAAGGTAATATTTCCCTTAATTTTTTTTTCTTTTGCATTCCTTCTATGGAAATCGAGCAAGTTTGTTCAGGATTTTATACACCGGCCTGTCACATCAGGTATCTGGAAAACCAGGTCACATTTTGTGCCTCAGGCTTCCCACTTTATTGTGGTGTACTCGTGTCCTACTTTGCCTTTGCACGCAACCAGCATCGGTGTGTCCGGAGGAACATTTGGAAGCGTAGTGTGTATCTTTGACCCTTGCCTGGTCAAAATGGATGACTGGAATGACCTTCCATCTTCAGTCTCATAAGATAACCTCTTAAATGTTTTCAAGCTAGTGCCTCAGTTTAAACTTGTGGCTCCAAAACATCTTTTCAAGGGAAACGCACATTAAAATTTCAAATACACAACACTCAGCCTTTCGGTACAAGCTCTGTTGAAGTGGGTGGCTAGAACATGTATGTTGTACTACGTACAAAAGGCTGCTAAGATTGTAGTATTCCATAATCATGGCTATCACTATCTCCACAGGCGATTGCCGCATGCTGAGAAGTTTAATCAAGCCAGCAGTAAGAACATAAGGCAAGCCCTGCTGGATCAGACCAGTGGTCCATCTAGTCCAGCATCCTGTCTCACACAGTGGCCAACCAGCTCCTCTGGAGGGCCAGCAACAGAGCAGTAAATGCGCAGGTCTTCCTAAATGAGAGATGTGCAGCAGGAGTTTAAGAGCATTAGGTATGAGTTGAGAAAACTGGTTCAGGTGTCAGCTCCAAATGTCAACTCAGCCATTGATTCATGTCTCTCTCAGCTAAATTCTGGCTCCGGTCACATGGAGCATTTGCCCCGCTGAAGGCATGGTACTCTGGCGGATTTTCCGGGCACGATCTCACCGGAACATTTGGAAGGTGTAGCACTTCCGTGGCCAACCCGCAGCAAGCCGCTGAAGCCACATAGTTAAAAGCTACCAAGATCGACCTACCAGCAAATGGTTTGCCACGGGCTGCCTCCGGGCTCCTGTGGTGTGATCGCGCCGGTGTCCTCTTTGCTGTGCGTGCCGACGGTGGAAGCCCCGCGTGCCGCCGTCAAGTCTGATTGCCTAATCGTGCATCAGATTGCGACGGCGCAAAGAGCCATGCCTCCCCCCGCATTTTCTGGCCTGTGTGACCGGGGCCTCTGAAGATCAAGAGAAGACCCACACTTTGTTGGATATCATTCTATTGTAATCCTTGACCTGAATTTTCCTGGCAGACAGTGTGAAGGATTATGCTAGCATAATATCCAGAAGTGAGTGGATCCTTCCCAGGAGTCTGCTGTGTCTGACGAAGAGAGCTGTGACTCTTGAAAGCTTACGCCCTTTTTAGTCTCTAAGGTGCAACTGGACTTGAAACTAACTATTCTACTGGAGATCAACATGGCCGCCCTCTGAAACTTCCTTGTGTGAGAAGAATTGTTTTGAGTTGATTGTAAAGCAACAATAGCCAACTCCTGAAGGTCTCCTTCAGTTAATACCTTCTTCCTGGATCGTGTACTCAGATCTCAGCTGTGACAAGCTTTTTTGTTCTCTGTTTAAATTGACAGTGCCTGGTATAGATGTGCTTTAATCTGGAACCTTTTCTGATCCTCTGTGGTAGCAGGTATATGAGCCTCTTGTTCGCCAGTTCTGCATTCAGTGGTGCATATGATGGAAAGACCACTTGAAAGTCACCACTGGAAAGCTTTGTCTTTGCCGATATTGCTGTATTGGTGATACCAGAAATTGCAGAAAATTGGGGGGGGGGGGGAATAGAAGAAACTAATCTGTTGTGTGTTTTTGAACGCTGAATTGGATTTTGGGTGACATACCACACCACCAATGAAGAACACTACGGCCGGTTCCACACTAGTGGAATGTAGTTTTATGACCATCGTTTCCACCTGTAGATTTTAGTTGTAGTAGGGTTTTCAGACAACTCCATGATCTATTTATTGTTTTTCCATTCCTCTCTTCGTTATAGTCCCTTTTTTCCTACATACAGCTGCTTTGTTGTGATTCTTTTTTAAAAAACTTTTGTTTGGACTACCAGCACAATCTCTGTCGGACGTGAACTGTCTATATCCTACTATCTTACCATGTTCTTGGAGCAGTGTCTGTTTTGGTGCCTGTTACAAAGCATGTTGGAAAGCTGCCCACTTCTCTCTCTGTATTTGTGAAGTGCCGTCAAGTTGCCTATGAATTAATGTCCTCCAAAACATCCTACTGTTTGTTAACAGCCTTGCTCATGTCTTCCAAACTGAGGTCCCTTGTGGCTTCCTTGACTGAGTCCATCCATCTCGTGTTGGGTCTTTCTCTGTTCCTTCTGCCTTATACTTTGCTCTAGCCTGATTGTCTTTTCCAGTGACTTTTGTCTTCTTGTAATGTGATGAAACTACAGTGGCTTCAGTTTAGTCGTTTTTAGCTTCCTGGGCAAGTTCAGGCTGATTTGATCCCACTTAGAAACCACTTTTTTGTCTTTTGGTGGTAGACTTTTGCCAGAGCTTTTCCAAAGCACTTGAGATGAATGCCCCGCCTCCATCTGTCAAAATCTTCTTGGGAGCACCTTCTTCTTGTCTTTTCCATTGACTCTTGTCTTCACATAATGTGACCAAAGTATGATAGCCCCAAATTATTTTTTTAGGTTCTAGAAAGAGTTCAGGCTTGATTTATCTAGAACTCTCTTGCTTGTCTTTTTGGTGGTCCACGGTATCCATAAAACCCTCCTCCAGACCACCTTTCCAATGAATCCACTTCTTTCCTGTCAACTTTCTTCATTGTCCAATTTTCACACCTATGTATAGTAATGGGAGAAACTATGGTAAGAATTACCTTGATCTTGGTCACCAGTGACACATCCTTACACTTAAGCCTACTTCTAGAGAAGCCTAAAGCATTTCCCCTTGACATGCTGCCTTTCCACAGGCAGTTTTTAACTGTTCAGACATACAGTTCTCCCCTACCTGGGTTCTGAAACCAAAGAAGGGTGTACCAGATGGCATTTCTTGAAGGTGCTGTTTTGATACATCACTGTTGTTTAAGACTTCAAAATATCCCCCTGTATACCTGTTTTGAGATTTTGCTGTGAGCACCATCTCTGGGTATATAATTTCTTTTTCAGTCCTCAGTGTGCCAGAAGACATCTGGGCTAGTAAAAAAAATACTGGTCGCCTATCAACTGTTGTGTTTGTGTTTTGTGTATTCCTAGGACATCTTGTTTCCTTACGTCAAAGACAACATCAAGGATTACTTGCGAAAACATTGGGAAGACGAGGAGTGTCAACAGGACGTCGGCCTTCTGAGGAAACAGGTAGGGTACTTGATACCTTTTTCTTTTTCCACTGTCTGTTTAAAAAACCCTCTATGTCGGGGATGTCAAACATGCGGCCCAGGGGCCAAATCAGGCCTCCGGAGGACTTCCATCAGGCCTGCAGAATTGGCCATCTCCTGCTTCAAGTTCTGCTGCTGCATTATGGCTTGCTTCGCCAGACACTCTTAATCACTCAGCCATTTCATGTTTTAACCTGGGTCCTAGACTCAGAACTCTGAGCATGAGATTTCTATGGTGAATGTCAATACATCAAAAGCAGGTTGGCAGCTTACAGAGCTAATGTTTTAAGCATGTTTTTATTGTAAGTAAAAAAACACCAACACTTTGTGTTTGTGTCCTTTATAAAGTTTATATCTCCGCTACCTGGCGTTACATTTTATGACACACGTGTACAGTGTTCCCTCTAAGCTGAGTTAATGTGAGCTAGCTCACAGGTTTTTAGCCTCCAGCTCACACATTGTTGTCGTAGCTCAAGAAGGAGGGCTCCAGAGCAAACTAATTTATGCTGTAGCCAAATCGCTCACTCACAAATGTAATGTAAGTAGCTCACACAGTCGAATTTTTGCTCACAAGATGCCACAGCTTAGAGGGAACATTGCACGTGTCCTGGTCCGACAAGGTCTCATTTATGTCGGATCCAGCCCTCGTAACAAATGAGTTCGACACCCTTGCTCTGTGCGTTTACAGCCCTGCCCTGGATGGCCCAGGCTAACCCAGTCTTGTCAGATCTCAGAAGCTAAGCAGGGTCGGCTCCGGTTAGTACTTGGATGGGAGACCACCAAGGAAGCCCAAGGTCACAACACAGAGGCAGGCCATGGCAAAACCGCCTCGGATCTGAAGAAATGAGCAGCGACTCGCAAAAGCTCATCCCCTGCCACAAATGTTGCTAGTCTTTAAGGTGCTGCTGGACTCTTGCACTTTTGTACTGCTGCAGACAAACTAACAGGGCGACCCATCTTGGTCGTTTGGAAGAATAAAAAGGCAGCAGGGTACAAAATCCAGAGACTTCCCTGTCCCACCACCAGAGGTCAGTTTCAGGCCATGGTTAGTGTTAGACTAGTACTGGGGTGGCCAATCTTGCTTAACGTAAGAGCCACACAGAATAAACATCAGATGTTTGAGAGCCACATGACATGAACAAATATCACAGAGATGTTTTTTATTGAAAAATATGCAAATTTGCTTTTTATTAACATTAAATGAGACTGCCAAAAATGAGACTGCCAATAAAAATAAAAGGGGTAAAAATAGATATTGATGATATTCATTTGTCCAATGATATTTGTAGGCTGGGGTGGGGGGGCTTTGAGAATGCATTTAAAGTTGCTTTCTGGCTGAGGAAGGGAAGACCGATTGGGGAGGCATGCCTCTCCTTCGCTTCCCCAATTGCTCTGCTGGGAGCCACACAATGTGTGAAAGAGCCGCATGTGGCTCCCGAGCCGCAGTTTGGCAACCTCTGGACTAGTACGTGAGAAAGTCCTGGTTCAAATCCCCACTCATTTGGCGAGGAGACTAACCACTGTCTCTCAGCGTAGCTCAGCTCACAGGTTTGTTATCAGCATAAAACATTCAGGGGGGAAGGTCTACATACAGCACCCTTGATCTCTGATAAAGGGGAGCGTTGACTCTTGAAAGCTTATACTGCAAAAATCTTGTTGGTGTCTAAGGTGGATTCGAATCTAGCTGTTCTGCAGAGCAACATGGCTACCCCGTTAAACTATGTAAAATTACCCTGAGCTTTTTGGAGGAAGGTCAGAATAAGACAAAGTTTGGCATTGGCTTAAGACCTTTTTCTCCTGCCAACCTAGCAGTTCGAAAGCAAGAAATTGCAAGTAGATAAACAGGTGCCACTTCGGTGGGAAGGTAACAGCGTTCCGTGCGCCTTGGGGTTTAGTCATGCCGGCCACATGACCACGGAAACGTCTTTGGACAGCGCTGGCTCTTCGGCTTTGAAACGGAGATGAGCACCGCAACCCTAGAGTCGGACTCGACTGGCTTTCGAGCAAGGGAACCTTTACCTTTAAGACCTTTTTAGTGCCATCAAGTTGCAGGTGACTTACAGCTACCCTTCACGGGGCTTTCCAAGCAAGAGACGTTCAGAGGTGGTTTGCCATTGCCTGCCTCTGCATAGCAACCCAGGATTCCTTGGTGGTTTCCCATCCAAGTACTGACCGACCCTGCTTAGCTTCTGAGATCTGATGAGATCAGGCTAGCTTGGGCTATCTATCCCGGTCAAGGCTTCAAGGGACTAGAGAATTTGCATTTTCCTTTGTTTCCCATGATTTAAGGCTAGTGTCTGAGTATTTTGATCACGGCCAGAATAACCATGATTGGAAAAACACACTAAGCTTCTCTGTTTGTTAGAATTTTTTTTTCAAAGGTTGCATTGCATAGAATAAGATGTAACAGCCCTTTGAAGGAAACTGCCGCTGGTATTGTGTTACATTCTGTTCTCTCCATTCCCTACTTCACAGGCTGAAGAGGATTCTCACATGGATGGGGTTGTGCCTATCCCACTGGAAACCAGGGACGGGGAAGAAGAGATCGAGCGTGTTATCCAGGCGGTTGTAGACAGCGTTCAATGGCAGATGTCTTCAGACAGAAAGACCACAGCCTTAAAACAGCTCCAGGGGCACATATGGAGAGCGGCCTATGAAAACGGTTGTGTGAAAGGAGAGTGAGTAGCCAGTTTGTTGAACTCCTGTATATAATCCTGAAGGCCCATATATGTTTGTATATGTATGTATATACGTGTGCATATATCTATATATATCTATATCTATATAGATATATATATGGAGCTGCGGTGGCTCAAGTGGTTAAGACGCTGAACTGCAGGCTGTGGAAGGTCAGTAGTTCAGCAGTTCGAGACCTGAGTGTGCCGCATGACGGAGTGAGCTCCCGTCTCTAGTTCCAGCTCCTGCCAACCTAGCAGTTCGAAAGCAAGACATTGCAAGTAGATAAATAGGTACCACTTTGGTGGGAAGGTAACAGCGTTCTGTGCTCCTTGGTGTTTAGTCATGCCGGCCACATGACCACGGAAACGTCTTCGGACAGTGCTGGCTCTTCGGCTTTGAAACGGAGATGAGCACCGCAACCCTAGAGTCGGATTCGACTGGCTTTCGAGCAAGGGAACCTTTACCTTTACCTTTATATCTATATATAGATAGATACACAATTTCCACATATATATATTACTGTCCACACATATACATTTAGGGCAAAATTACATCGTATGTTGACAACATATTTGTTTGAACACGGGAAGCTGCCTGATACTGAATCAGACTTTTTTGTCCGTCAGGATCAGTATTGTGCTCTCAGATTGGCAGGAGTTCTCCAGGTTCTCTGGCAGAGGTCTTTCACATCACCAACTGCCTAGTCCTTTTAACTGGAGATGCCAAGGATCGGGTGAAGAAAAAGAACAGGGTGGGGGGTGAGTGTCAGCCTGCAAAATGGAATCAAGAACCTTGAAGGTAAGTAAGAAGTCAAGTAAGGGGCCAGTAGTTTAAAAATATAGAATAATTATAAATAAAAATGCATGTATTTATTGCAGAGACTTTTAAAAACATATAAGGGCCTGAATCAAGCGTTATAACATAATAAAAGTGACATATGCATAAGAGGAAACATTTATGACCTAACACATTTCAGCCCAATAGGGCCTTCCTCAGAGGTCGAATATTAAGAAGAAGAAGATATTGGATTTATATCTTGCCCTACACTATCTGAAGGAGTCTCAGAGTGGCTTACAATCTACTTTCCCTCCCCACAGGTGGGGCTGAGAGAGCTCTTTGGAGAACTGCTTGTGAGAGAGCAGCTCTGAGAGAACTTGTAACTCACCCAAGGTCATATCAGCAGCTGCATGTGGAGGAGTGGGGAATCAAACCCAGTTATTCCAGATTAGAGTCCATACTCCTAACCACTACTACCCCAAACTGGTTCTCCTTACCACTACACCGAACTGTAAAAGGTACATATAGGCTCCTGTTACAATCAAAAAGTTAACAAATTGACATAGGGCCAAAAAAAAGGAATTTTCCAATGTGGAATCAAATGACACAAGAAAAATATTATTTGTGAGCCCTCCTTGAAACTAGCCTTGTGTCAATTACAGATGCATACAAGCTGAGTAATGTTGCATGCGTATGCCTTCCAGTCTTGGTCCAGAAAGTAGGGCTTGTATGTATCTGTAATTGACACAAGGCTAGTTTCAAGGATGCCTCACAAATAATACTTTTCTTGTTCCGTTTGATTCCATATTGGAAAAATCCTTTCGTGCCTTTTGATTGTAACAGAAGCCTATATGTACCTTTTAATGTTTTACCTCTAAGGAAGGCCCTATTGGGCCAAAACGCATTAGGTCCTAAATGTTTCCTCTTGTGTATATGTCACTTTATCATGTTATAAGGCTTGCTTTGGGTCCTTAAATGCTTTTTTTTTAAGTCTTTGCAATAAATACATGTACTTTTATTCATAATTATTCCATATTTAAGTTTTAACCATTGGCCCTTATTTGTTTTCTTACTTACCTTCAAGGTTCTTGATGCCAAGGATCAAACCTGGGACCTTCTGCATGCAAAGCAGAGGCTCTTCCACTGAGCCACAGCCCTTCCCCCACGAATGTAACAAAGCTTGCTTCAGACACCAGCCCCTTGAATTTGCTTTGCAGGAACTGAAGTCGCGGTGGCTCAGTGGTTAAGATGGTGAACTGCAGACTGGAAGGCCTGTAGTTCAGCAGTTCGAGACCCGAGTGCCGCGTGACAGAGTGAGCTCCCGTCTCTGGCCCCAGCTCCCGCCAGCCTAGCAGTTCGAAAGCAAGAAATTGCAAGTAGCTAAATAGGTACCACTTCGGTGGGAAGGAAACAGTGTTTTGTGTACCTCGGCAGCTAGTCATGCTGGCCACATAACCACGGAAACGTATTCGGATAGCGCTGGCTCTTCGGCTTGGAAACGGAGATGAGCACCGCACCCTAGAGTCAAATTCGACTGGCTTTTGAGCATGGGAAACTTTTACCTTTACCTGAAGTCAAGGGGATTGACTTGAAGATGTGTATCTTCATTGATTTATTTGCTTCACTTATACTCCACCTTGCTACCCCATGGGGACTCAAAGTGACTTATGTCATTCTCTCTTGTATTTTATCCTCACAACAACCCCGTGAGGTAGGCTAGATTGAGAGTGTGTGACTGGCCCAAGATCACCCAGCAAGTTTCTATGGCAGAGTGGGGATTTGAACCTGGGTCTCTCAATTCCAGTCTGACTCTCTAACCACCAGACTACACTGGCCCACTGGATTATGCTTGAAATATGGGGATGGAGGGGTGGGGCGGAAGGATTTTCAAGGGAGAAATGGCAGGGGAAGGTATTTCACATTTCCTGCATGTCGCTTTCCCTCTGCCGTTTGCCCCCCCGGTGTGCTTATTTCTAGTTCTGGTGCACAGTTGAGTGGGGAGATAAGAGCCAGAGAGCTAGGGTGGGAGGGGAATAGTTGTGGAAGAACATGGCAGACACTCTCCCCCATTCTCCCTGGAAAATGAGCCCATGCCAATGTATTCTTAGTTGGGAGCTGGTGTTCCCAAACTTTGGTCTTAATGCTCACTGCAGAACTTTCTGCGACGAGTATTGTGGCTACATAAGAACACAAGAGAAGCCATGTTGGATCAGGACAATGGCTTCTCTAGTCCAACATTCTGTGTCACATGTTGGCCAAAACCCAGGTGCCATTAGGAGGTCCAGCAGTGGGGCCAGAACTCCAGAAGCCCTCCCATTGTTGCCCCCCCAAGCACCAAATACTGGAATGAATTCAGGAAACTCCTAGTAGAGCAAAGATTCTAATAGAGCAAATTCAAATAGAGTAAAGATTCAAGTGGGTTTTCAGTCAGAATTCGAGGGATGTTGCTTTCTGCTGACCTGTCATGGTGTTCTGTTACAGGTTGTTTGAGGACGTGGTGCCAGCCATTCGGAAGTGGAGAGAAAGAGGAATGAAGATTTACGTTTATTCCTCTGGGAGCGTGGAGGCACAAAAGCTCTTGTTTGAACACTCGACCGAAGGTGATATTTTAGAAGTAGGTAGAGCATTGATTTTCTTTCCTGCCACTCTCTCTTCAAAATGACAGTGGTTGTCACCTCTCAGGCATATAATAATAATAATAATAATTCAATTTATTAATCGCTCAATCCTTTCAGAGCTGCTGGCTCTGAGCGATTTACAGTTACACATTCACAGGGGACTAACAATGATTCATAGGGGTAAGGGAGGACAACACATATAAATCTTTAAATCGCACACGTTTGCGGCCGAGGGGGATTTTGTTTCAGCTGTAGACTAGACATGGTCCAGACGGTATTTTTCCTTCGGCTTGGCTTGATGACGGGGAGTTGCACTCTTAAAGCAAGGCTGTGTGGTGTTCATTCACCCAGGCCAAGGCTTAGATAATCTCCAAGTGTTGTTCAAGGGCACGTGTCGTAGCTCTCCACAGTTCTAGTACTGTGTCTGGAAAGCGTTGGGGTTCAATAGATGGAAGAGTGTGTTGGTTTGACTAAGGCAGGGCGTAAACATTTGGGACAGAAAGAGGTCTTTCCAAGTCACCATGATTCTATAGGTTGAGATTATTCATCAGTATCGATAGCATTTTGTAAATTTATTATGCTTTCCTTTCTCTGGAGAACTCTGTGTAGCTTATACTTTTTTCAGGGCTAGAGCAGGTATGACGTAGAGGGGAACCTTGGATCTGCTCTGTAGCTAAGCAGTCACAAGGATCCCCTTGCCTCTGCAATAATAAGCATTCAGTTCCGCGATAATAAGGATTCCGTTCCATCAAGTCACATCTGACTTCTGGCACCCCCTCGTGTGGTTTTCAAGGCAAGAGGCAGTCAGAGGTGGCCTGCCATTGCCTGCCTCAGCATAGTAGCCCTGGACTTCCTTGGGAGTCTCCCATCCAAGTTCTCACCGGGGCCGATCCCGTTTAGGTTTCTGAGATCCGAGGAGGTTGACCTACCTTGGGTGATTCAGGCGGCTCTGTGCATGTCCCCTGTTGGAGATGCACCCAGTTTGGTGAGCCAGGTTGGTGTCGTGCTTAAGTGCGCGGACTCTAATCTGGGAGAACTGGGTTTGATTCCCCCACTCCTCCACTTGCAGCTGCTGGATGACCTTAGGCAAGCCATCATTCTGTCCAGAGCTGTTGTTGAAAGAGCAGTTCTCAGAGCTCTCTCGGCCCCACCTACCTCACAGGGTGTCTGTTATGGGGAGGGGAAGGGAAAAGGAGTTTGTAAGCCGCTCTGAGACTCCCGAGTGAAGGGTGGGATATAAATCCACTCTCTTCTTTTTCTACCCTCCCCCCCCACACACACGTAGTGGAGCGAAGTGCCCTCAAGTCACAGCTGACTTCTGGTGACCCTGTATGGTGTTCAAGGCAAGAGACAAACAGAGGTGGTTTGCCATGGCCTGCCTCTGCAGAGTCTTCCTTGGTGGCCTCCCATCCAAGAACTAACCTGGTTGGGTTCCAAGCTCAAGCTAGCCTGGACCATCTCTCTGCTTTAAGCTCTGAGCAGAGAGAGGACGGTCATAGCATTGCATGCCTTTCTTTTTCCTCTGGGGGTGTTAACAGGAGGAGACCTAACCCCCCCCCCACACACATGCTTGGTCATGGCCCTGAGTCAGAATGTCAGCTGCAGCTTAATAGCTTCTTTTGGCTACTCATTTTTATATCTGGATCCTCAACATTAAGTCTGTTTTGACCCTCAGGCAGCTTATCAAGTCAGGCTTCACAGTACAGTGTTGCCATGTGCCGCCATACCATTCTCCAGAGGGCCAGTGTGGTTTCGTGGTCAAGAGTGGCAGACTCTTAATCTGGAGAACTGGATTTGATTCCCCATTGCTTCACGTGAAGCCTGCTGGGTGACCTTGGGCCAGTCACCATTCTCTCAGAACTCTTTCAGCCCCACCTATCTCACAGGGTGTCTGTTGTGGGGAGAGGAAGGGAAGGTGATTGTAAGCCGCTTTGAGACACATGAGACCTGCTGGGTGACCTTGGGCCATTCCCAGTTCTCTCAGAGCTCTCAGCCTCACCTACCTCACAAGGTGCTTGTTGTGGGGAGGGGAAGGGAAGGTGATTGTAGTCTGCTTTGAGACTCCTTAAGGTAGAGACAAGCAGGGCATAAAAACCTACTCCTTTTCTTCATTCTCTGAGAGTGCACAATTCTGGTAGCTGGACGGGGGGAAGTGCAAAGATTTCCGTCCACTGACCCTCAGAAGCATTGTTCTCATGTTATGGAACAGCCTCCCCAAGGAGGTACACCTGGCCTCCACACTTTTGATCTTTAGGAGGCAGCCAAAGACTGGTTTTATTTCAGACTGTGTTTGATTAAAGCCTCTTAACCACTTGAGCTGCAGTGGCTCAAGTGGTTAAAACGCTGAACTGCAGGCTGTGGAAGGTCGGTAGTTCAGCAGTTCGAGACCCGAGTGTGCCGCATGACGGCGTGAGCTCCCGTCTCTAGTTCCAGCTCCTGCCAACCTAGCAGTTCGAAAGCAAGAAATTGCAAGTAGATAAATAGGTACCCCTTCGGTGGGAAGGTGACAGCGTTCCGTGCGCCTTGGTGTTTAGTCATGCCGGCCACATGACCACGGAAACGTCTTCGGACAGTGCTGGCTCTTCGGCTTGGAAACAGAGATGAGCACTGCAGTCCTAGAGTCGGATTCGACTGGCTTTCGAGCAAGGGAACCTTTACCTTTACCTTTGATTAAAGCATTCCAAATTGCAATTTAAAAATGTTTTGATTTTATGTACTTCCATGTACTTTGTTTTATGTATTTTATTTCTGTTTTTTTAAGTCACCTTGAGGCAGCTAAAAAAAATGTTTAAATCTCGTGGTGAATGCATGAACAACCTGTATGTACGTGCATACACCTCTTTGTAAAAAAGAACATAAGAAGAGCTCTGCTAGATCAAGCCACTGGTCCATCTAGTCCAGCATCCTGTCTCACGCAGCGGCCAACCAGTTCCTCTGGACAGCCAACAACAGGGTATAGAGGCCGAGGCCTTCCCCTGATGGTGCTTCCTAGCACTGGGATTCAGCGGTTGACTGCCTGTGATTGTGGAGGTTGCCTTTAGTCACCACAGCTTAGTAGCCACTGTTAGGTCGCTTCATGAAAGACAGATCTAAGGCGTGTTCACTTTACAGAAGAGATCAGAGACCAGTATCTGCAGAAACATGAGGTTTCAATTACATATTTGGCTGTACAGGCATTGAATGTAACATGAGAATCACTCAGCGCAGGTGTAAGGGGAAATGATGTGTACATGATTTGTATGTGCATTCACTGGAACTTGCACACAGGACTAGAACGTTGCTGAGTCCCTTTGGGGGAGCCCCTGCTGCGGTCTACTCTTCTTCATGTTCAGAATTTTGCTCCTTCCTACGAGCAGATCTTGACTCTTGCTCTCTTCTTCTTTCCTATGGAAACCTTATAGCTCTTCAACGGCCACTTTGACACCAAAATTGGCTCCAAAGTTGACAGCGAGAGTTACCAGCGGATTGCCACAAGCATTGGGTGTTCTCCGAACAACATCCTGTTCTTGACAGATGTCACTCGAGGTAGGATGGCTGTTCGTCTCCCCATCGTCCTTATTTCAGGTGTCCCTGGAGGTGAACTTCAAAGGAATGGGAGTCAGGAAAGACCTTCCTCTCTGCCCCACTGGAGGAGAATGGCAGGATCCTGTACAGGTGTCCCTGGGTCAGCCTGGCAGTACTGCTTGCATATTTCAGCTTTGGTCCGTTCAGTAATGTTTCTGTCTCTTTCTGAGCAAGGGAAAATAGGGCAAACCCCTCCAGGCTGTCTGGCACCAGCCGGAGACAGGTGAATCCACATGTAGTGTAGGGAACTGAGACACTTATATAAACACTCCTTATCTGTTGTGGTCAGAGTTCAGTGTACCCTGTGTTTAAAACTCAAGCTAACTCAAGTTCTGCATCAAGAAATGCTGAATTTCCCAGTGTGTGTAAATGAAGTCAATGTCTACCAACCCCCCCCCCCCATCCCAACTTTAAACTTTACTTTTACTTTAATGATACTGCTGTTACAGCCAATTCGGCTCTGAACAGTGTCCCACTAAGACTTTTAACGATTTCTGTAAAAACTAACTTAATATCTCTTATTTTGGCATAATCTAGCAATATTCATTGTTTTGCATACTGTATTCTGATAGATATGGTGAGAAGCTAAGAGTGTGGTACAGACCTCATTTGGAACTGCGAGGTGGCAAGTGAACGTCATGCTTAATTCTCCCCCACATTAAAGACAATTTCCCTGCCCATAGCCTTCTCCCTGAGGTTCCAGTTTGCTGAGTTAGAACGCTCTTCCCAACATGCAAAATGTGCAGGGAGGTTTTTGAGAGGGTTATTGAAACCTGTGATTTCCCCCCCCCCTTCTGCAGTCTGAAGTGGAACAGTCCTAGGCACCTGACCTGGATGGCCCAGGCTTGCCAGATCTCGTCAGATCTCAGAAGCTAAGCAGGGTTGGGCCTGGCTAATATTTGGACGGGAGACCTCCACAGAATACCAGGGTTGTGATGCAGAGGCAGGCAATGGCAAACCACCTCTGTTCATCTCTTGCCTTGAAAACTCCACTGGGGTTGCCCATAATTCAGCTGGGAGTGACGTGCCGACACTCTGTACCATGTGATTTATCTGTATGTGTAGATTGCCCCCTCCCCAATGTGGCAATGAACCTCATATTGGCAGTTGGGACAGATGACAACTCTGGAGCAATGGACTAGGTTTCTCGCGGCTCACTGACTGGGCAGAAGGATGGGACAAAAATGTTACAAATAGATTGACTAGCCATGGGTCTTTTCTCCCCCCTCAGAGGCTGACGCTGCAGAAGAAGTCGACGTTCATGTAGCAGTCGTCATTCGGCCAGGCAACGCTGGGCTGACAGATGATGAGAAATCTTATTACAGACTTATAACGTCTTTCGACGAACTGTTCCTGCCATCGTCCACTTAAGACGCAAAATTGCCCAGGGAATGAAAGCAAACAACTAGCCGGCCGTCACCTGATGAAATTTTCCTGTATAATTTATGGTAGTTTTGTTGGTGATTTTGAAAGAAAGCATGTCGGATCGCTGGATGCCAAGAAACTAAAGTTGGCGTGATTGGCATGTCAGAGTGGCACTCATGAAGCCCTTTGGTTGCGACGTTCTGCACACACGCCCCCTTGGTATGACCGTTTCCATGGGGCTCCATTGGAGAATCTCTTGGTGGATTGTGACCAGGATGTGACTGTCACATTTCCATAACTTTGGAAGCCTCTCCTACAAATAAAAATATCTTAAGATCTGTCCTTTCCTTTTGGTGTGTTTTTTGTTTGTTTGTTCAGTAGGTTAAAAACAATCCCGACTGAGGGGTCAATTTTTTGAAAATATTGCAAACCTCAACTAGCTGTGCAGATGGTTTGAGAGGGAAAGGGAGTAAGGGCAAGAAGTGGAAAGTGAATGGCATGCAGTCCACAATTGTCAGCACGTTTGAGGTTTTCTAGATAGTGATGCTTCTAAATAATTCTTTAGCTAGCATACCCAGTGGGGTCAGTTGCATTTTCCACATAAAGCTGCTGTATACTGAATCAGGCCCTTGGTCTTCTCGGAAGTCCCATAGTCTTAGTCTCTAAGCTAGAGACGTAGTTAGGAACCTGTCTCTGTCTCTCCTCTTTCTATCAAGTTTGTTAATTCATAAATAAATTGACTTCCAGAAAGCTTTTGATAAAGTTCCGCATCAAAGGCTCCTAAGTAAGCTTTTATGGATCAAAAACTGGCTAGTTCATAGAAAACAGAGCGTGAGTGTAGGTGGGCAATTTTCTCAGTGGAGGGTGGTAAGCAGTGGGGTACCGCAGGGATCAGTACTTGGTCCACTGCTTTTTAACTTGTTCATTAATGATTTGGAGATGGGAGTAAGCAGTGAAGTGGCTAAATTTGCGGATGATACAAAGTTGTTCAAGGTGGTGAAAACCAGTGAGGATTGTGAGGCACTCCAAAGGGATCTGTCAAAGATGGGCAAGTGGGCGTCAACATGGCAAATGGGGTTCAATGTGGCCAAGTGCAAGGTGATGCACATTGGAGCCAAAAATCCTAAATATAAATACACATTGATGGGGTCTGAACTGGCAGAGACAGATCAAGAGAGAGATCTTGGAGTTGTAGTAGATAACTCACTGAAAATGTCGAGACAGTGTGTGACTGCAATAAAGAAGGCCAATGCTATGCTGGGGATTATTAGGAAGGGTATTGAAAACAGATCAGCCAATATAATAATGCCCCTATATAAATCAATGGTGAGACCTCATTTGGAATACTGTGTGCAGTTCTGGGCACCACACCTTAAAAAGGATATTATAGCTTTGGAAAAAGTGCAGAAAAGGGCAACTCGAATGATAAAAGGGTTGGAACACTTTCCCTATGAGGAAAGGTTAAAGCGCTTAGGGCTCTTTAGCTTGGAGAAAAGACGACTGAGGGGTGACATGATCGAGGTTTATAAGATTATGCATGGGAAAGAGCAGGTTTCTTCACCCAAAGAGTGATTAACACTTGGAATTCACTGCCACAGGAAGTGGTGGGTGCTACAAGCATGGACGGCTTCAAAAGGGAATTAGATAAGCATATGGAGCAGAGGTCCATCAGTGGCTATTAGCCACAAGGTATAGCTAGGGGCTCTGGGGCAAGTGATGCTCTGTCATCTTGGTGCTTGGGGGGGTCAACAGTGGGAGGGCTTCTAATGTCCTGGCCCCACTGCTGGACCTCCTGATGGCACTGGTATTTCTGGCCACTGTGTGACACAGAGTGTTGGACTGGATGGGCCTTTGGCCTGATCCAACATTGGCGTCTCTTATGTTCTTATGTCCATCCAAGTAGGCATTGTCTATTCAGACTGGCAGCTGCTCTCGAGGCAGAGGTCTTTCACATCACAAACTGCCATATTTTTTAACTGGAGATGCCGGGGTTTGAACCTGGGACCTTCTGCAGGCCAAGCAAATGAGCCAAAGCCCCTCCACCGCTTCCCTGGACAGAGTTGCTAGAAAAATGCAACCCCTACCATTGAGATAGTGACTGGTTTTGTTCACTCAGGTTGCTCTGGTGTCAGAGGTCGATTGGATACTGCGTGGATTGTCACTGCAAAAAGCATTGCTAGTCCTGCACCGTTTAGAAACAAACAGGCCACTGAGTATTTTCCTTCCTTTTCTGGCTGGTTTGTTCCTGCTCCCCCTTCTTCTCGGAAGTCCCATAGTCTTAGTCTCTAAGCTAGAGACGTAGTTAGGAACCTGTCTCTGTCTCTCCTCTTTCTATCAAGTTTGTTAATTCATAAATAAACCTTTATCTATTCTTCAATTGGGTTGTGCACTGTTGCTGTGTTAATTACTTCGTCAATGTCACTCCGCCACACACCTGCTGGTATCAAGGGAAACAGCACAAAGAGATGGAAGCTTCACTACTGCCAGAAGATTACCTGCCAGAGGATGTTGTGATGGCCAAAGGCATAGACGTCTTTAAAAGGGGATTAGTCCGATTCATGGAGGAGACATTTATCTGTGGCTACTAGCCATGTTGACTAACGGGAACCTTCACATTCAAAAGCAGTGAACCTCGGAATCCTGGAGCCAGGAGGCAGCTTTAGGGGAAGGCCTTGGTCTCTATGCCCTGTTGTTGGCCCTCCAGAGGAACCGGTTGGCCGCTCTGTGAGACAGGAAGCTGGACTAGGTGGACCACTGGTTTAGTCCACCATGGCAGTTCTTGTCTTCTACTGCACGCACCATACTGTCCGGAATTATCCTTCCTTGGATGTAGGTCCCATTGTGACAGTAAGAGATTTCATCCCAGTGAAATGTGTAGTGAGTTCAGGGCAATACATTTTGCCTACTATACGGCACTGTTTCAGAGGATAACCATGTTGGTCTACAGTAGAGCAGCTAGATATGAGTCCAGTAGCACGTGAAGAGACCAAAAGGATTTTCAGGGTGTAAGTTTGAGAGTCTGATGAAGAGAGCTTTGGCTCTCAAAAGCTTATACCCTGAAAATCTTGTTGGGTCTCTAAGGTACTACTGGACTTGATTCTAGGTGTTCTGCATGGCACTGTGTACTGGTTCCTTCAAGTCCTTCCAGAGCAAAACAATAGATGAGAGAATAAGATATATTTTTTCCCCATTGGGAGTTTGGTCTCTATAATTCGTGGTGTGTTTCACAGCACCTCTGTTTGAGCTGGAATATGTGTTCCCAAGTGGCAACAGACCCTTTTCTTAGTTTTGAGATCCTAGTTTATACAGGGAGTAAGATGAGTTTGCCCTGACCTAGATAGCCCAGGCTAGCCTGGTCCTGTCAGATCTCAGAAGCTAAGCAGAGATTGGCCCTGGGAGCGGTGACGCAGGGGATTTTTCCCTGCTTAACAATAACATCTGAACTGTAGCCCCGTTCTGGTGTGAGCTACCAAGCCTTGTCCTAGCTCATCGTCTACCCAGCGATTTGAAAGCTTCGGCGAGTAGATAAATTGGGGACCACCCGTAAGGGGGTGGGCACACCCCTCCCTTCGGGAAGGTGTTAGCTACTGAGGCAACTTCTGAGGCGCGGCGACCGGAAAGATGGAAGAGCTGTGTAGGCTTCCCTGCAGTGGAGCGAGTCGGCCAGGCGGTGGCAGTGTGTGGCTGCACAACATCAAGAAGCCAGACCTCATCAGCCAGCCGACAAGATGCCGTAGGAACACAACTGACCCAGCCCGCAGATGAAGCCCGGCTAGCTGCAATGTGTGTGTAATTAATGCTGTATGTTTGTCTTCCCTATCCCCACAAATATTATTAGTCCAACTGTCTCAAGAGTAACTGTAAATCGCTCTGAGCCTGCAGGTATGTGGGAAAGAGCGATCAATAAATCGAAAGCATTATTATTTGGATGGGAGACCACCAAGAAATACCAGTGTAATGACATGGAGGAAGGCGATGGCAAACCATCTCTGAACACCTCTTGCCTTGAAAACCCTAAGAGGTCGCCATAAGTCAGCTGTGATTTGACATTTTCCACCAAGATGAGTTTTGCAGAATGTTGGCTATTGCCTAGGAGAGATGGGGATGGGACCTTGCTGAACCTCTTGTGCTGCCTTGTACTGAATCAGACCATTGGTCCCTCAAACTCAGTTTTGTGTACTCAGACTGGTAGGGGCTCTGTAATGATTCCATGTTTTGCGGGGGGTGTCTTTAAATGTTGAGTTTGACTGCAGTAATGCAAGGAGGGCGATAGGGGGAGATGAGTGTGCTGTGATTGGTTGATGACTGAGTCTGGGAGGAGATGTTCTGAGAGGAATCTGTGTGTGTTTTATGACAGAGTTCTGTGTATGTGTTTTTGGAAAGTCAGAGGGGGGGGATCGCGGGGGATCGCAGTTCCCCCGGGTGAGGTACGGGGGCGGGGCACATGATGAAACCCCGCCCCCTGATTCCGGCCGCCCCACTTCTGACCCTCATTCAGCCAGGCAGTGTGGGGGGCAGGGTGTGTGGCCTTATGACACACTTCCGGTGATGTCAGGGGGTGTGGCCTTATGACACACTTCCGGTGATGTCAGGGTGCGTGGCATATGCTAATGAGTTATGCTAATGAGTTCCCCTAGCTCTTTTTCTACGCGACCCCTGGATGGAATAGTAGATTATGTGAGTCTGTGGCGTGCTTGCTTATAGGGGGAGGCTGTTTTTCCTTTGAACCACACTCTGTGTATATAAACTTGGTAGTTTTCTGGTGCCACCAGGAATTTAAAAATCAAATTCTCTCTCTTTCGGTAGTATGACCCAGGATCTGGGCACTTCAGAGGACTATGTGGCCCTGAGGAAAGACTGTACTGATTTCTGGGATATGTTTATACAAAAATTGATTTATTGAATACAGAACAAAATAGGTTTTTGGTTATCTTGAATAGTTTCTGGAGAAAGGAACTTGTAAATATAACTGGCAAGGTGACAGGCTTCTCTCTCTCTTATATGTAGCCATACTGGCTAAGCTCTTTGTCTAACCACACAGTTTAGACACTACTTGTTTCTTTGCCAAATAGACTCGCTCACAAAACTTTTAGTGTCACGCAGACTCTCTTCATAGCTCTTCCACACTTCACTTTCCACAGGGGTCGTTTCGTAGAAAAAGAGCTAAGGAGCAACTTACCCTCCCTCTTCTGCCTCCTCCTGGCTGAATGAGGGCCGGAAGCAGGGGGCGGGGCGTCGTCATGTGCCCTGCCCCCCGTACCTCACCCAGGGGAACCGCGATCCCCCCCGAAATGACCTCTGATTCCATCATTTTAGTGCAGATGCCAGGGATTGAA